GCTATGTACGGTTAATGTAATTATCCCCAGAAATTCAGTCTCTATAGAGTTATAGGATAAAAAAAATTATTTTCCCTACTCTTGTACTGAACACTCAACACTGAATACTTCACCACTGTTAACCATAATGTACGTGTAGGTTTTCCCCCACCAACCAATCAATTCTCCAGTGAACATCGGCTGCGTGTCCTACAATTTAACTCAATTCAGACACTATCTACTTGAAATGAGCATCAGATATCACAGGTTAAGGGCTCAGTCCCACAAGACTGACTCCAAGTTCAGATGCCAATTGTAAGCCCCATGTTGTAAATTGTGCTTCTGGTTATAAATTGGGGTTCCTGCAACCAATTCCTTGGGTTCGAATTTGCTAGGACAGAACTCGGGGAAACACTTTGTGTTTACTTATTTAGTGCAAACGATATTACAATGGATACAGATAAACAGTCAGATGGAAGAAATGCATAGGGCAAAGTATGTGGGAAGGGGCATGATGCTTTTATGCCCTCTTCAGGGGCACCAACCTCCATGCACCCCCACATGTATAGCAATCCAGAAACTCTTTAAATTCTGTCCTTTGGATTTTTATGGAGAATTCATTACATAGGCATGACTGATTAAATCATTGGCCATTGGTGACCAACTCGACCTTCAGCTCTTCCCTCCTCCCCTGAGGTTGGGTGGTGGGGCTAAAAAGTCCCAATCCTCTAATTATGCCTTGGTTTTCCTGGTGACCAGCCCCCATTCTGAAGCTATTTAGGGGCCCCCGGACACTAGTCTTCTAATTAGCACTTAAAAGATATTCTTATAGCTCTGGAGATTCCAAGGGTTTTAGGGGCTGTGTGCCAGGAAACAGGGACAGAGACCAAATCTTTTCTCTTTAATATTTGAGACTTTGCTATATATAGATATAAAAAGTGCATAAGTGGCATGTGCATAAATAGCACATGCATCTTGATTTAAAAAAAAAATCCTAAGAAATCATTGACCCTTATTAATTTGTTTTTAGTTTAAATGTCATTCCGTAATAACTTCGTATAGCATACATTATACGAAGTTATACGATAAGGATTATGCATTTCTGGTGATATGAAATGAAGACAGGGACTATGAACCATGAAAGCCCAAAAGAGCAACCACGGGCTAAAATGAAAGAGCAATTTCTCAAGCAGTTTCAGAGAGGTTACAGTACCTGGATATAGCTCTTGTCTGCCTGCATTCTCTTCCATACAGAATTTGATCTATAATGTCTAGTATCTAACAGATGAATTTAGCTAGTGCTTTTGAACCCATTTGATAAAATGACTTGATAGTTTGTTCATATATTCATTCAGTGAATATTTATTGAGAACCTACTAGGTTCTACACCTGGTTTAGCATGAAATAAAATAGCATTTCTGCAGAAAAATGTATTTTTCAAAAGCAAAAAGAGTTGCCTGATTCTAGGAGCCCTGAAGAAGTAGAGAAATGCTAGAAAGGATCACACTGTCTTTACAGGCAAAGTGACTTCCTCTTCCAGTTGCTGGGGCTTCTTTCTTCTGGGGAAAATCTGAGCATGGCAATCGGTGCGGATTTGAGAATGGGTTGATCAAAGATGGCAGGGTAATTAAGTAGACAGAGAAAAGGCCAGGAGTAAAGGAATATTCAGGTGAAACGTGCTCTAGAAGCCTAAACTGTTTCTACTCTCTCTTTCCACTTTGTGGATGTTTCAAGAGAATGGATTAGTGAGATGCAGTTACAATTTTTAGTCTTCTAGAATTAGAATGATACAGTTTTGACATGTTTACCTGGTTACTCAGAAAACAAACAAGAAAAAAAAAAGAAAAAACCCTCCAATCTTCCCAGTTCATAACTAGCTGGAAGACAGGAACGAAAAGGGAATAAGGTTTGCTTCCTCACCATCTGGCAAATCTAATCTCAAGCAGAATTAAGGGTCCATGGTCTCTCTTCTCTTGAAAACTGTTAGGGAGAGAGAACTATAGACAGGCAACAAAATCTTTGTGCAAATCTCCAGGAGGACCTTCCCTTATTGAAGATTAGTAAAGGAAACCAGAATATGTTCCTCCAAAATGTGCCTCTTTGACATGAATATTTTTGAGCTAAGAGCAATTAAGCAGCAGCAAATGGAGGAAGGGTTCTTCCTATCCTGCCCGCCCCCCATCGCATGGAAGAATCTCATGCTACTGTACACCTAAAGACGGGAGATAAATTCTCTTTACTGGAGACCTTTCCACCTAGAGACACGAGGTAAATTCTCCTTTACTGGAGAGCTTTCCACCTAGAGACAGGAGATAAATCCTCCTTCACTGTAGACAGCTCTTCTCAGCGACAGCATCAGAGGAATCTATAAACAAATCTTACTCCATTAGTTTCTTCCTATATTTTTACCTCCACACAGTTTCCCAGCTCTGGGAACCTAAAACTGCTTTTCTTTGTCTTTTCACTTCTCTAAAATGTATTGGGTTTTGTTAAAGATGTTATATAAGCCAGAATTTTAAGCCACTGTTTTGAGTTACCTTTCATTGAGGTTTCTCCCATGTGATGCACACTGCATGCATGGACAGACTTGCTTGTTTTTCTCTTGTTAATCTGTCTTTTGATACAGAGTCTGTCCCAAATACAAACTCATGAGGGCTGAGGAGAAATTATGTTTCCTCCTTGACAATAGCATGAGGTTCCACCAATAAGACAGAAAGGAAGGCTCTGTCCTATCCAGCTGACATCAGCTCTTCTGGGCTAAAGGACTGCTTTAGCACATCCAGGAAAAATGTCTCATGTGCTGTTTAAGGAGAATCTATACTTACTCCCATTCAATCTCAAAACATACAAAAACAAAATCACATGTTAAGGTGATTTTGTTAGATTTTACAAAATTCTATTTAGAAACCTTATGATATTACTAATATTATGACACAACTAGAAACCTGTGGAAGTTTAAAATAGGAGAACCCAAATATTTTTACTGAAACCAGCAAAAATAGTCAAGTGGTTTTGTTTTAGTATTGATAATAAAAAGTGGGGGGGGAAAGAGTCCTTTTGTGAGTAGGGTATTTTTGATATTACATGATAAGAAACATCCGATTTGATTATTTGTACAGCAAGATTGAGTGGCAGTACGGGATCCTCATGAATGGTTTTTAGTGATGATAAAAATATTCACATGTGATAACATCTTTATTTCGTCAATGAGAAAGTTCTAGACAAGTGGGAAAGTGACTTAGTAAAGGTTGCATTAATAACATCTTTAGATGTTCATGTCTAGATGACATTAATAGTGTCCAAACATGACTATTTGGTACATTCATCCCTAATTATTGATCTAACTACTACAGCACGCATGAAATGCTCTGAAGTCATTGAGCTAACTGTCCCAGCTGAAGCCTACTGTGGAGCAAAGGATCGCAGAGAAGTAGGTTGACACAGCACACTGGGCTGTCCTAATGGTGACAATTAATTTGTCACTAACTGTATTGAAAGTGCTGAAATTGACAAATGCTTTACTTCTAAAAATTATTCATTAAAGACAATTCAAAGATGTTCCTATTCACAGTTACTAGCATTATAATGCTCAGTATTGGAGGCAGGGGAGCAGGGTAAGGGAAAAGTGAGTGGACTTTGATCATCTGCAAGAGAATCACACAGAAGCCTAGGAAATTCAACAGAAATGTCTTCCACATGCTAATGCCATAATGTCATCTTTTATGAATGATGAGGTAAAACAAAAAAAAAGCTTGGGCTGAGAACTGCTGATCCAGAAGAAAATAGATAACACCGTTTGTAAAATTGGCTTTTGTGCAGAGTTTAAGCTGGGTTGCTCCCTTTGTTATATCCTCCTGTGGATGATAAAAATAATTTCCTTAAGGGGGAAGAAGAAGGTAGTGAGTGTAGGTTCTTTGACTCCATGTTTGTCCTGCTGATCAATCAAATCAGGAAAGCTAACAGAGCAGAGTCCTTCATTTATGAGAATAAGGCCAGGAATGAAATCCTGGCAGAGGTACCCACATGTAAAAAAGCACAAAAGTGTAATTCAACACCATATACTTTGAGAAATAGAAGCAGTGGATATTTTGAATTGTGAAAGAATAAATGACAGTCGTATGAGTTTTAAATAGGTCAAAAAAGTAAATGTGCGCTATAAGATTTGTAATACTAGANTCCTAGATTTCCTCCTATGCTATCTTCTAGAAGTTTAATAGTTTTGCATTTTACATTTGGGCCTATAGCCCATTTTTAGTTAATTCTTGCAAAGGGTGTAGGGTCTGTGTCTAGATTTATTTGTTTGCACATGGATGTCCGGTTGTTCTAACACTACTTGCTGCAAAGACTATTTTTGCTCCATTGTATGTCTTTGCTGCTTTGTCAAAGATCAGTTAAGATCAGTTGACCACTCTCTCTTGCTTCTTTTCTCACTCTGTGATCTCCTTGTACCCACTGTCTGCCTACTGACTTATACCATGAGTGGAAGCAGCCTGAGGCCTGCACCAGAAGCAGCTACCCCAGAAAACATGCTTGCCTGGTTTTTAAGAGCTATGAAATGAGCTATCTCATAACTTGCATGCATAAATGCATGCTGTGTTCCCAGATGCTGTGTTTGAATCTCCTATTTGATATATTTTCAAGACTTGTGGAGAGACTATGAGCCAAGTGGGTCTGTCACATCTCTTTAAATAATAAGCATTAAAAAGAAGAGGCAAGATAGCTGACTAGAAGACTCTACCACTTGTCTCTCCCTCAAAGACGGACAAAACAATGGATATGCAACTATGCTTGGACAAAAATAACTAAAGAAAAGCACTGGAGCATATCAAAGGAATAACAGAAACACTAGTGAGCACACTCCCTCAAAGACGGACAAAACAATGGATATGCAACTATGCTTGGACAAAAATAACTAAAGAAAAGCACTGGAGCACATCAAAGGAATAACAGAAACACAAGTGAGCACAGAAACTCAGGACAGCCACATAGAGAATGAAAGGTAATAAATATCCAGCCTCTACCACCCCATCCTCCAGCCAGGAGCAGCAGGGACCCAGGAGGCATTAACGCCTGCAGGGGAGTAGGTTCTTTGACTCCATGTTTGTCCTGCTGATCAATCAAATCAGGAAAGCTAACAGAGCAGAGTCCTTCATTTATGAGAATAAGGCCAGGAATGAAATCCTGGCAGAGGTACCCACATGTAAAAAAGCACAAAAGTGTAATTCAACACCATATACTTTGAGAAATAGAAGCAGTGGATATTTTGAATTGTGAAAGAATAAATGACAGTCGTATGAGTTTTAAATAGGTCAAAAAAGTAAATGTGCGCTATAAGATTTGTAATACTAGAAAGATGTTATGCATTTCTATTCCCATGTTTCTCTAACAGCTGGTGTAAGGACCATAGGAAAGAACATATAGAGAGTTACTTTGTAAACTTAAAACTTATTGTATAAATAATAACAAGCATAAGATATTTTGCATATAGATTGTTTCCAACCAGAGAGAAATATTAAAAAAAAGTGATCATTTTCCTTCAGTCCGTCTTATTGAAACTTTTTTTTTAAAGTTGAGAATTATAAATGGGTTTCTTTTTTAGTTAAATGAAGTATAATATATTTTAACATCTATTAAAAATGTTGTCTTTTCCTTAGCCATTGCCAGTTAGACCATTAGTTTTCAACTAGGCTAAACAAAAAATTATCTGGGAAGTTTTTTAAAATAGAAATTTCTAAGCTTGTCCTAGACTAGTGAATCAGAATATCTATGGTTAGAGCCTGGACATCTTTGAGATTTTTGCCACCTGCTCAGTTGAGTCTGAGGCAACCCTCTGCAGTGGTCTGTGCACTGCATTTGGAAACCACTGAATCCATAACACAATAGCACAGAATATATTAGAGAGCCATTTGGGGGCCTGCCTGATTTATTTTCTAAAACATGTCTTTTCATTTTCTTAGATATCTTCCTGATTCTTGCCATCATCAGGCCATATCTCATTACTTCTGAAATGTTGCCATTATTTGCATTTTGATGTTTTTAAATGTATATCATCCTTTTCCTAGATATTAACGGTACTCTTTTCATCAGTATAACACACTGCAAAAGATCTGAATTATAAGCAATGTCATAAGGTCGTAACAAAATAGAAAATAATTATGACAATTAAAAAGAAGTAAATATTACTTGAAGATAATATTGGTGTTTACTTTGGAAAACCAAGAGAATTAGTGGAAATCTATATATACTAGGGAGAATATATTTATCTTCTCTATTACGATCCTAGCCAGCAAGATTGGGTTTTGGCACTATTTTATTTTTAGGGGGGCCGACTCCAGCTGAGGCGCTGCAGAGTGACCCCGTTTCTCTCTTGGAGGTGTGGGAGCCTGTCCATGGCCCCAGTGACCTTGCCCAGGGTGGCCTACTCTAGTCAAGGAGCTTCAGAGTGAACCAGTATCTCTCCTGTGTGCACAGGGGCCCACCCAAAACCCCAGTGACCTTAGACGGGGAAGCCCATTCCAACTGAAAAGCTGAAAAATGGCTCAGTGTCTCTCTTGGGAAACAAGGCTCTACTCATGACTGCAGCTGCTTCGCCCAAAGTGGCCCACTTCAGCTGAGCAGCTTCAGAGCTCCCCAGTGTCTTTCTTGGGGGTACAGGGTCCTTCCCTCAGGCACAGTGACCTTGCCCAGTGTCACCCACTTCAGCTGATGAGCTGCAGAGCACCCTAACACCTCCTTTGGGGGAGCAGGGCCCAGTGCAAAGCCCCAGTGATCCCACCCAGAGTCACCCAGCTCAGCTGAGGAGTTGCTGAGCATTTCATTGTCTCCCTAAAAGTCCAAGTTCCTGGTCTCGAACCCACCCAGAGTTGCCCATTTAAGCTCAGGTGCTGCAGAGTTCCTCAGTGCCTCTATCGGGAGCACAGGATCTTGGCTAGGGCAACAGTGAGCCAACCCAGGGTTCCTCACTACAGCTAAGGAGCAGCAGATCACCCCAACACTTCTAGCCAAGAGATCAAGACATCATCCCTGATCCCTCTGACCCAGCCCAGTGTCACCCACTTCAGCAAGGTGCTTCTCAGCACCCCAGTGCTTAGGCCACAGAGGTCCTCACAGAAACCTCTGATGTTGAATAAAGTTGAAGAAATCACATGGAGACTAATCTAATGCAGTCACCCAGAACCAAACCTAAAACGCTCTACCTGACTATCTCTATAGAACACATCTACAGGAGTCTCTCCCTTCAAAATCAACTCCAGAGCACTAGAAGAAGAGACTGTTCCCCCAGATTCCCAGACATCAATTTAGGGATGTGAGAACATGAAAAAACAAGAAAACATGACACCCAAAAGGAATACAATAATTCTTCAGCAGCAGAACATAAAGAAAGGAAATTTATGAAATGCTTGAAAAGGAATTCCAAATAATAATCTTAAGGAAACTCAATATGATACAAGAAAGTACAGACAGACAACACAACAAAATGAGAACAACAATTCAGGATCTGAAGGAGAAATTCAAGAAAGAGATATATATGATAAAAAAGAACCAAGCAGAAATCTTGGAAACAAAGAATTCATTCAATGAAATAAAAAACACAACTGAAAGCTTAAGCAACAGGCTAGATCAAGCATAAGAAAGAATTTCTGAACTTGAAGACAGGTGCTTTGATATAACCCATTTGGACAAAAAGGAAAAAAAGAAAAAAGAATTTTAAAAAATTAGGAAAGCCTACAAGATCCATGGGACAACTTTAAGCATACAAACATCCATATTATGGGTGTTCTGGAAGGGGAAGAGAAAGGAAAAAGCATTGAAACCTATGTAACAAAAAATTCACAGCTGAAAACTTCCCAAGTATTGGGAGAGATATGAACTTCCAGATCCAAGAGGCTCAAAGATCCCCAAACAGACATAACCCTAAAAGGTCCTCTCGTGACACACTGTAGACAAATTGTCAAAAGTCAAAGACAAAAAGAGAATTCTAAAACAGCAAGAGAAAAACAACAAGTTACCTATAAGGGAATCCCCATCAAATTAACAGCAGATTTCTTATCAGAAACCTCACAGGCCAGGAGAGAATGGGATGATATATTCAAAGTGCTGAAAGAAGAAAACTGCCAACCAAAAATACTACACTAGCAAAGCTATCCTTCAGAAGGAGAAACAGTACCTTTCCCAGACAAACAAAAGCTGTGGGAATTCACCACCACAAGACTGGCCCTACAAGAAATCTTTAAGGGAGTCCTACGTCTGGAAGCAAAAGAATGATAACATGTGAAAGAACAAAACAAACTGGTAGAGCAGATACAGAAATGAGAAAGAGAAAGAAATCATACCTTATCACTACAAAACACCACCCAAAAACAAAGACAAGCAATAAAAGAGAAAAGAACCAAAATACATAAAACAACCATGAAAAGTTAATAAAATATCAGGAATAAGGCAATACCTTTGAATAACAACCTTCAATGTAAGTGAATTAAACCCCACGTTTAAATGACATAGAGTAGCTGGATGGATTAAAAAATAAGACCCAACTATACGCTGCCTACAAGAACCTCACTTCATCTGTAAAGACACACACAGACTAATAGTGAAGGGATGGAAAAAGACATTCCATGCAAATGGAAACCAAAATTAGCAAGACTAGATATATAGGATAAAATACTTTAAACCAAAAACTATAAAAAGACAAAGGACATTACATAATGATACAAGATCAATTCAGCAAGAGGATATAACAATTATAAATACATATTTACACACCCATCATTGGAGCACCCAGATAACATAAAGCAAATGTTAATTGGATTTAAAGGGGAAGATAGGCCTGAATGCAATAATAGTCAGGGACTTCAATAGCTCTGTCTCAGCATTGGACAAATTATCTACACAAAAAATCAGCAAAAAACCATTGGGTTTAAACTGTGCTACAGACCAAATGGACGTGACAGACATTTACAGAACATTTCATCCAACAACTGCAGAATATAAATTCTTCTCATCAGTACATGGATCATTCTTCATGATAGTCCACAAATCAAGTCTCAACAAATCTCAAAAAACTGAAATCATATCAAGTATCTTTTCAGACCTCAATGGAATAAAACTAGAAATCAATAACAAGTGAAATTTTGGAAACTGTACAAACACATGGGAATTAAGTAACATGCTTCTGAACAACCAATGAGTCAAAGAAGAAATTGAGCAGGATATCAAAAAATTCCTTGAACCAAATGAAAATAGAAGCACATTGTACCAAAACCTTTGAGATACTGCAAAAGCAGTACTAAGAGGGATGTTTACTGCAATAAGTGCTTATATCAAAAAAGTAGAAAGATTTCAAATAAACAACTTACCATTACACCTCAAGGAACTAGAAAAGCAAGAAGAATCTAACCCCAAAATTACTAGACGAAAAGAAATAATAAAGATCAGAGCGGAACTAAATGAAATAGAGACCAAAAAAAGATTCAAAAGATCAATGAAACAAGAACTTTTTTTTGAGAAGATAAACAATATTAACAAACCATTAGCTAGACTAAGAAAAAAAGAGAAGACACAAATAACAAAAATCAGAAATGGAAAAGGAGACATTACAACCAATACCACAGAAACACAAAGAACCATTATAGACTACTGTAAGCAACTATACAACAACAAATTGAAAAATATGTAGGAAATTGATAATTCTTACAACCTACCAAGACTGAACCAAGAAGAAATAGAACACTTGGACAGACCAGTAATGAGCAACAAGATTAAAACAGTAATTAGCAGTCTCCCAACAAAGAAAAGCCCAGGATGGATGGCTGCTAAATTCTATCAAAATTTTAAAGAAAAATTAATGCCAGTTCTTCTCAAACTATTCCAAAATTCAAAGGTGAGGGTATTCTCCCAAACTCAGTCTATGAGGCCAGGATCACTCTGATACCAAACAGGCAAGAACACAACAAAAAAAGGAAACAGTAGGCTAATATTCCTGATGAACATATGTGCAAAAATTCTCAACAAAATACTAGCAAATAGAATTCAACAGCATATTAAAAAGATTATATACCATGATCAAGAGGAGTTTATTCCAGGAATGCCAGATGGTTCAACATATGCAAATCAGTAAATGTGATATACCACATCAACAAAATGAGGGACAAAAATCCTATGATCATCTCAATAGATGAAGA